CGGGTGTGCTTGGCAGGGCTGGCAGCAAGATGGACTTGGAGATGGTCCCAAGGGAGACGTCCTCCATCAGCCACCTCCCCGCTGTTACTGGGATCAGGGAAGCACAGGCACCCCCATGGCCGGAGGGGATGCGAAAGCGTCGGTGGACAAGCAGAACATCTGGCTGCATGGCCTGGCTGGATCTCTTGGTCAAATCCAGGCGGGTGAAGAACGTGCCTTTTCTGCCAGCAGATGCAAAACCACAGACCTGCTCTCCGAAGCCGAATGCAGCAGGGTTGTAGCGGCAGGTGGGTGTCCCCAAGGGGGTGAATAAACAGGCTACATGGTGGGAGGAGAATGGGCCAGACCACCCACTCACCGTGCTCCCCAGGTCTCTCTGACCTGCCCATTTTCCCTGAATCTTCAAGGATATTTTTGACTCTTTCATTATGCAGGAGAAATCTCAGCAGAGCTTTATCCCATTCCTGCCCCATCGTTTTTGGGGGCAAGATGGGATACAGCCGCTCGTCACTGTGTGGGGATGCACCTCTGGTTGCAGAGGAAACTTCACAGAACAGGCAGTGCTGTAAAAAAAGCCCCAAATAAACTCTCCCCTACAAATTAACTCATTTCCTTACAAAAGGAATTTTTTTTTTCTAAGTGTCAGAGGTGACTTCATGTGCCACAACAGCTGCAAAGAGGGATCAGCGTGTGGTGGTGGAGCTGCTCTCACCTGCCCTCCACCACCATGTGCCAAGGATGAGGCACCATGAAACTGGAGCAGACCCAAAACTTTAATACAGCGTTGATGAACTTTCTTGAAAATGCCTTTTGGCTTTTAGAAACCTCCTAGCAAGGAAACCAAGCTGCGGAGGTGAGGGAAGAGCATCTGGCTGCAGTCAGCAGTGCTGAGCACTCAAGCAGCCCACCTTGGTAGGGTGAGATTATCCATCACGAACAGCATAGTTGAGAAAATAATCCAGAATTTGGTTGAAAAATACTCCTGCATTTTTCAAACCATGGGGGAATCATTTTGCTCACCGTTTGCTAGGACGCAAGTGAAAAATCTACCAGAATTTCCAAAGCATTCAGGTCACCAGCCCTTAACACTGGGGGATGCTTAGGTGCAAGGCAACTCTCATGGCTGGGTAATTAATAACTGGGTCTCTGTTAATTACACCTACACAGGGGCTAAGGATGACTGAGACATAACTCTTTCTAATGATGGGAATGGTGGACAGACTGCCTGCAGAGATGTACCAACAGCTCCTTTCCAACAGGCTGGAAGTTTTGCAGACTCTCCTAAGGTGATCTTGAAGGTACAGATGTCTAGGACCAAGGCGACTGAGCAAAGGCAGGGTGCCAGAGATGGGCCCCCAGGAGAGCACTATGGAGCCATACTTGTCATATTGAAGCAGGAAAAAGAAAGGATAAAATTCTCTTGGCGCTGAAGGGAGCTCTGTTGGGTCGGGAGCACCTGGCTTTCATGCAACTGATTTGCTGGAGCTGAAATGCAAACCACAAAATAAATTGCTTGAACCCAAATTAAGGAGCTACTAGGGAAAATAGGATTGTCAGGAACTCATGAAGTTCAGTGGAGAGCTGAAAGCTGCTACATTTCTTGTGCAGGGGGTGCCAGGAGCATGGGCTTCAGCCCCGTGCTCTCCCTTCCCCATATTCAGTGCCACACTGGACCCAGATGCTCTCAACATCCAGTTTCAAGTTAATTTTTGTTTGCAAGTCGCTTTACAAGTTGATTTTAATGTTTCTCTGAATATACTAAGCCCATGACTACGCCTGGTAGCCACCCTTGCGTGCCAATGCTCAGCAGCTCCCTCGAGCTATGCCACCCCTGCCCCGGGGACCCCCCCTCACCTCATGACTGAGGGACCTGAGACATGGTGCGGGGTCACGCAGGGACTGGATCACATCTCGTGCTGGCACAAATTGACCCAGAGGAAACTCCACCTGCACGCAGTGGGGGGAGACCAGCAGCGCAAGGGCACAAACACTGCCCAGTTTCCTCTTTCCCTCGCCTCATGCTTTGAAAGTTTTCTATTTGTCCTACTCTCGACGGGAAAGGGGGTCAGCAAAGGGCACAGCATTTCACATCCACCCCAGCAGATGCTGCTCGCGCAGCCACCGCAGCAGAGGATGCTTCCCTGCCGCTGGTGGGGTTTCTGCTGAAGTTCGTGGTGTCCTTCTCCCCCCTTCCCTGCGATTAATTTCTGCGTTACACGATGGCAGAGTGAAGGGACACCCAGCAGTGATTCAGACACGGTTTCGAAGCACATCACATACCACAGCAATCTGTCATTCCCGCGTAACAGGGCAACATTACACACGCCGGGGAGCATCTGACCAGGGGCTGTTTCTGGACTGACAAACAGTTGGAGTGATTCAGCGGCAGGAAACACCCAGACAAAAGGCTTTTCCCACTGTAAGGCTACAGCAGCACTAGGGCTGCTGCTCTTAAACCCTAGAAGCAGCTTTTAAATGGATTTTAGTTGCACACAAGCATGATGCCTCCCACTGACACAAGACCCCTGCTGCCCTTTGTGCCCTTTGCAGAGGAAAAGCCAGAGCAGGGCTCTGCAGCAGAGCCAAGTCTTACCAGAAATACCAGGTATCACCGTGCAGGGAAGGGGCGGGAGGATGCTCTTCTGGCAGCAACGAGCCATCAGATGAACTCAGCTGCCAGGAACCGCACCAGGAGAGTTTCAAAATCCTTATTCTACTAAAACATAAAGAAGCTTACCAAAGGACACGTTCTTGACTTCGTGTTTGTCAACCCCTGCTGAGCGATTCAAAGGAAGTCTAAGACCATGACTAAGAAAATGCAGTCAGAAGAGTGATGAGGCTGCCCACTCTGTGACAGAGAAAGGTCAGCTCAGCTCCAGCGGGGGAGGGGGGGGGGAGAAACACCGCCGACCCAGAGAAGCCTCCTGCCCCCGTCTGTAAAATAAATGGCAGCACCCCAGCCCCAAAATGGCCCCAGACCACTTGCAGCAGGCAGGGACCTGGTGCAGGGAGCAGAGATGCTCACATCCCACAGGATGTTTAACAGCGTGGTTAGGGATGGGATGTTACTGCTGAAAGCCCGTCGACCAATCTTACAAGCAGACAGTAAAAACAGATATGAATTTATAAAAGATAGCCAGGTGTTTGCAAAAACCTCCCTAAGACAGCTGGCATACCGCTGTTAGCTACCTCCCTTGGCAGGCAGCTACAGCAGGTAGGACTTATTTCTTTAGTCCCTTGCTTTGTGCAATTGCTCTTCATTTGTCAACCTGCTTCCCAGCGCACAAGGAGAAAGCATTTTCTTCCCTACAGCAGTAGAGAACGTAATTTTCTGAGTCTAGGAATGAGTATATCACTATTTCTATACAAAAAAAATATTCTCACTGTGGAAATGGGGAAAGCTCAATGCAGCTCCTGAACTGAAGATTAAATAGATCATAGGTCTAACTATGTGGTATGACAGACATACAGTGTAGTGTTTGCCCGCAATCTTTTAAATCCAATAGATAACTCAATAGCTGAAACCCAAAGCCTATGATTCAGTGCCAATTTTAAAAAGGAGAAATGGACTTCAGAAGCACTTAATGTGCAATTTAGCCTCCACGGGACAGCCAACGACTGGCTGTTACCAAAAGAAACGGGATGTAGCTCAGAATACACAGTCACTAGGATTACCTCTCGGTTTTTTGTTAGGCTGACAGGACTATTACAGTAGCTCTCCCTGAATAAAAATCTGGGGGTAGAACAGGCTCACCCCTTAAATCCCAGCCTGCAGTGCATTTGGTGGCACTCCTTTCAGGCCAAGTGCCAGCACAGCAGTTCATACAGCTGTGTTTTAAAACCTAAGGAAAGGGAGACTGCAAGGGTAGGCTCCCGATTGTTCATCCTCCAGTGCAAGCTCCTGATGTTGCTGTATGAAAGCCCGAGGCTCTGCAGGACTTAAGAGAACCAAACCAGAAAAAGCATGAAGATGGTGCTCAGAAATCAACACCATGTTACCCACCATTCCTCAACCTGTGGAACACTGCGTGCCAGCCTGAAAGAGCAGAAAGCAGAATCAGAAATTACTCAAGTTAAAGAGACAAGTCACTGGAAACTTTCCATACAAAGATCTAACTCGATCTGAAAACCACAGCAGATCAGAAATGGCACAGAAATGCAGAGGGAGCAGCTGTCTGTTCCACTCCCATAGAGCAACCGGGGAAAGTCATCAAATAAAGGTCAGGAGGCTGCAGGTCCACAGGGTCCTGTAACTGCTCCTAGTCCATAAAAAAAGTGGAAATTGCCATACAGGAAATAAAAGTAGAGGGATTTCAAAAGCCAAGAGGCAGATGTAGCCCAGCACCACACTGCTTTTGTTTACTAGGTCCTCCATGCATGGTCACCACCAGAGCTACGATAGGAGGCTGAGGGTAGTTCTAGCCTCACAAAAGTACTTTCAAACCTCCCAGAGAAATTTCCTGTAAGTGTGTGAAGTTTGTGAATCCCAGTAGGAAAAGTAGGACTATATTGTTAGGAAAAGATCACTTGATAGTTATATTGCATTTTATCTGCACATGCAGATAAAGATGTACTCTTTACAAGGACAATAATCAGTAAGTCAGAAAAATCAAAGTAGTCTAAATGTTATATCCTTGCCTTCTCTAAATGTATGGTTATCTACTTCCACTGAAGCTTTCTCCAGGTTACAGATAGATAGCCTGCTAACAGCTCACCCACCTCAAAGCTCAGCAGCATTACCAGGAGTTTATTTCCAGTCTTGGTCCGTGTGTACAGTGACAATGAATGATGTTTCTCGCTCTTGCTGCTGTACAATTTGCACATGGACTTCTCCATACGCTGGGTTTGCACTCCTGAGGCTATTACACTTAGAGAACAGCTCCCCAGCAACACAAAATTAGGGTGAATTTTACTTCTGGGCTTTAAACATTACTCCAGAACGCACAGCGTAAGTGCTGTAGTCTCTTTTCAACCCATAACTTACACTTTGCAAAAGTAAGTAGGAAAAGAAAAAACAAACTTATTTTTATTTTATTTTTCACTTTTGGAAAGCATTTTACACAGGTTTTGATCTTCAGAATACCTTGGAATCCGTAGAAAAAACTAACTGAACAGTTTGTCTTTACAATAGAAACCTTTCAGGAGTCAAAATTGAGACTAAAAAAATACATGCAAAACATACTCCTTTCAAAACACAACTGGAAACAAAGCACCAAACTACACAAATATGCAGAATGAAACAGCATTTAACATCACAGAAGTAGTCTTCAAAGGTGTAAAAGTCACCTATTCACTAGGCACTGTTCACTTGTTTAAACAGAAGAGACAATAAAAATATTGTCCACAAACTTGCAATTTCAACTCAAAGGCTGTAGCTAGAAATTCCTCTACATGTCATGCTTTAATAGCGACCTGAAAGAAAAAACAGTATATACACTATTACACTTCCAAGGATTGACAGATTTTTAAGTTTTGTCTAAATTCACTGCCACCCCTCAAATCTGCATCGAATTCGAGAGTTCTGCCAGTAAGTTCCCCTTTGTACAGAAACCCCCCAATTTCTGTCATATGCCCAGGGCTGATGTTTCAGAGCACAAGAATTCACACTGCAACTCTTCCAGGTTTCCCTACCTATCAGTAAAAGCAGTTGCAGTTGTCATTCGGACACAAACGATAAACATGAGAACACAACCTATTCATGCACTCTGTATCCATTACAAAGGCAGCATGCTAGGAATGCTGTTGTTTTATTAAATTTCTACCATCAAAATGCAGCTTTATCTTCCATGCAAACAAGCAATTCGGGAAAAAAAAGCACTGTTTGGACCTCAGATGAAGTTAATTTCCTCTTTAACAAGTTACACTGGGCAATTAATTTCAGTGTTAAAGCATGAAAGGCTTGACAATTCAGCCTTGCTGTCCTAGAGGTAACCATACTGTCAACATACTACAAAATCCTGCTTTAACAGAGTTTCAGAGAAAGAAACAGTACCTCAGGCTTTTTAACAAGTGGTATTATCTAGTTTATTCTTTTGCAAACTAAATATTTACTCTGTCCTCAAGGTTGCCAGTTGCTCAATGAAACATTAAAGGGAACTGTGGTTCAAAAACATAACAACACTGAAGTCAAATAGTCTTTATGGACACAAAAGCGCCAAAGAAGTTCAGGCAAAGGGGAAGTTTACTTTTGCCATGTGAGCTCTAAGGCTACTTACGTGGTGAATAGGATCGAGATCTGGATCGAGATCTGTAGCCCCCTCGGCTGTAATATGGGGATGGTGACCTCCTCCTGTCAAACAGGGCAACAGAAACAATCCCTGCGTTAGTCTGCGGCAGGTGAGTGGCAGCAGCTTTATGTGGATACTTCTAACCCAGCCCTGCTATCAGGCATGTACTTGGGAATGCTAACAAGCACATAAATAGCCGAGTAACATTTTTACAAATGGGTAACAAAGCAAATATTTGCATTTTCTTCATTTTATTTTTAGTAATATTAATTTGGACTAATAGAGGAAATATAAGCTCTCTTGCATTCACAGTTTGACTACGTGTGATTGTAGTGTTTCAAGCCAGGAGCATCCCAAACAATCTAAGCCAAATCACACTAACTTTTAATCTAAATTATTTGTTCTGAGCAAGAAGGGTTGATCTGATTAGCAGTCACTGCTACAACTAACCCCACCCCCAAACCCCTCCAATCCAGGCACTCCCAAGTTTTGCATTTCCTGGCCTAGTACCACTAATCTCCTAATTTAAAAAAAATAAAAATTAAAAAAATTAAATTCCCAAACATTCAGGACATCAACTTCTTGGCATAAATCACAAGTTTTTCCTGCAAAGCTGTGTTAACTTGTCCTTACACTAACCTCACCCCTTTACATAGCAGTGAGGGAACCCTTGAAATCAATTGCACTGCTCACTGAAGAGCTGCAAGTGCCCAGCATCCACCCAGTTTCTGTTAAAGCGTTTAAAGATATCCTATACTTGTTCATAGAATACTCAAAAAATACCATGTGTAAGAATATTTCCACTGATGACCAGACACTGAAAGCTTTCCTATCATACCTGTAAAACTGATCCCTGTCTTGAACAGCTCTCCACCCTCCTCCTCCGCCACCGCCACCTCCTCTGTGAATACAAAAGAAGAGTAACTTTTGAAAACATAAAAACAAACAAAAATGTTCACTGTATAAGCAAAAAGCATCAAGAAAATTATGTGAAGACAAGAACACATTGCTTCCTACACTGGATAATGCTGAATTACTTCATTATGTTCACTTTTATATATTCCTGTAATGAGTTGGCTAAATTCTGTCAAGGAGCAGTTAAAGACGACTCACATTCCAGCTGACCAATACTGTATTTTATAGTGTCATACTCTCCAATAAGCAGCAATTTAAGATTGGTACACAGCCTTCACTTCTAAGGCCATTTCTGTTCTCAGATGCTTACTCACATGAGGCAAGCAATTTTCTGGGTTGGTTTTTTTTTTTTGTTTGTTTGGGTTTTTTAAAGAAGCAGTCCTCACTGTCCTGAGGAAAAAGTTGTTCCCAAGGTGTAGGCAGGGGAAAAAACCCTACACCCTTACATTTTAACACTTCAAAATCATGTTTAAACAAGGACATTTAAGAACTGCGGTGCAACTTCTCCTTATATAGAAGCTGCCTAGAACTGAAACAATACACTGTAGTACTTAAAAATATTAAGTAGTTGGGTTGGTACCTCCACAGATTTAGATACAATAAATCATTACTAGGACGAGACTAAATCAAGTATGGATTATGGAACAGACACTGCCTCAGATGTCTCACAGCAGCTCAAAAAAGGCTGTAAAACATATGAAGGACAAAGAACCCTCAAAACCACTACACTTTATATTTTTTTTTTTTTTTTTTTTTTTTTCCAGAAAAAGTCTTCTCCATCTGGTAGATAGCCAGTGTATGCATTGTGTTTAAGGTTATTCTTCAGTTTACAGATACTTTTCCAAACAAGATTAAGCATCCCACTCTGCAATGAGAACATTACAAGTTTTAACATGACAATTCCCATTGGAAATTTTATTTCCCTTAAGGCTTCACTGCACAGAGGGCAAGGAAAGCAAAATAGTTGTTACCAATTGATTTTCTAGGGTGGAGTACTCGTATACAATGCTCTACCACATCTTTAACAATTCTAACTTCCCCTCCCTCAAAGATGCACTCACAACATAGCACTATTCTCTCTCCCTCAAACAACCAAGATCCACAGAATGAGTAAGCAGGTATCTAACCTGGGCAGACCATGATATTTTAAAGTAGCCACACACAAATCATTTGTAGCTTATTTTCACTCTTTCAATACCTACTATGAAGACATCATAAAGGTTCCATAGTGAGCTTTAAAATGCTGGGCTGAGGGTTTTATGGTTGGGTCCCCCTCCACTTTTTTTTGTAAGATAGGAAATGGAAATCCCAGTTGCTGGAATTGTCAATATTCTGAGTATTTCCACGCCAAAGCCCTAGCTCAGAACAGATGCAGGATGGGAGAACATGTAGGAAGGGCAGAACATCGCCCAGCACATGACTGCCTCAAAAGAGCTGGGCTGAAGCATCGCCATGAATACTGATACACTACACTCGGACTAGTACACTAACTGAAGTGGTCTACCTTCTCACATCACTTCTTACTAGTCTGCTGTTCCTCATCTAATGTCTGTACTCTTCTTTATGTTCAGTTACTATGACAGTCTGCAACTATTCTCCCTAGCACGCACCCAGAACTGACGTAATTACAACTTCTGATCATGTTTTACAAACATCTGAACTACTGTTCACTATCAGGAATTAAAAAGGTAAAGACTTAGGGTCATGCCATAATCCAAACAAGGAATAAATGTCATTTTAAGAACACACAAGCAACAAACAAAAGATTTCAAGGACAACCAGTATACCCTGACTGACCCTTTACAAAAGATTAAGGAAATCTGTGTTGTGAAGAAGCACAAGACCAATGGTGTAAAACTCTTACCAAAACTACATAACTCCCCACGTTTTGCTGGTCCTTAGGTGCCTTTGCCATTTTGATAGGTTTACATCAGATCCACATACAAAAAAACAAATGGAAAGCAAACTAGAAGCACCACTTAGCAGGCTATGTTGCAAGTCTTCTCTGTTCCCCAACGCTTTAGTGAGCTGCTTCAGTTAATTTATCTGCTAGATTTCTTAATTACATGTAGTACATTAAATGAGATGAGGCTATGTGAACTATCACAAGCAAATTTTTGTACCTTGTGCTCTGAAGCAAACTGGAAGTTTAGTCCAAGAGCCATCTACCACACATGAAAGCCTACATACAGGTGCTGGCCAGGAGAAACCAACACATCTTGACTCTTGTATGCCCAGGATCAAGTTCAGATTTTAGTTCTCAAAAATGTTCAAACCACTGATGTTTCAAGAAAATGGATTGTTAAGAAACAGACAAGTACCCTAATGACTGCTTCCCAGAAACAAGAGCAGAATGCTTATGTCTCCTGTGTTCAGCACCTTGCTTCCCTCCTGTCCCCAGCAGCACTAAAGCACTGTAGAATCAAGGCACCTGATTTAAGTTACAACAGCAAGGCAGGGAGGGGAGAAACAGACTGGAAGCAATGACAACAGCCTGGGAAGGAGAAAAAGGGGCTGAAAGTAGTAGGAGGGGAAGGAGGAGATAGCTGCCCTCACTCACTGACAATGACTATACAGCTATCAATTTAAGTATAAAGATGGGATTTTCTTCCACACCTAGAAAGCAACAGAAGAGTACACTGAAAGCTAAGATCACAGAATTTATTATTTCCTTTGTCTTTGAGCTATAATGCAATTTGAACCCATGTATTTCCAGGAATACATTGCTGCCATCAGGGAACAAGCATAAATCGACCCATTGCTGATGCAATCAAGCATCAGCAAACCACTCAGGAAGTACTACTATTAGAATTCTGCAACTACAGAAACCTTTGGTAATTGCAGAAAGAAAAAACCCGAACTCTTATCTCCGTGTCTAACTAATGTTTGTAAATTGTGAGGATTTTGCAGGGAACAAGTCTTGCTGGCAGTCTTAATGGAAGATAGTGACAAACGATCTTGTCACCAAAAACAATGACGATGACGTTTTCAATGATTTTTGTATCAACTTTAATAGCCCACTGACAACATACATTGTCACCTGAATATTCACCTCTTTTGGCTAACTCCTGTGCTGTCCAACACAGAATTTTAGACTGAAGACAGGAAGTGAGAGTCCTTCAAGTAAAAACACACACATCCAACCTGACAGAGTACACTAAAAAAGCTTTTCTATGCAAATGGCCAATACAGAACAGGTAATGTTCCAATCCTTGATTCCTCATTTTTTGGCAACATTTGAGGTGCCATAATAATTAGCAGGGGACACTGATGACCACTGAAATTTTCCACTTTTTTCTACTACGCCACACTCAAAATGTAAATCAGCACTATAATGTCAACTCTAGTATTAGTTCTGCACCTCAATTCCCACTATTTTAATGCTAACTGATGAATCAACAAAATATTCTTTTAAAATAAGAGCACAGAGAACATACTTTTTTCCAAAACTTAACGCAGATTAAAAAAACATTATGGACTAACTCATGCCACAGGTTAAATATCACAAAGTATTTCCCACTCTGACCAGTCTGATTTGTACTGAGCAGTCATTTTGGTCAAGGTTTCGTAGTAAGGTTCCAGAATGTCAATGAGTGCAAAAATATTTTGGCATACATACACAGGATGAACATGGAAATGTCAACAAGAAAGCAGTTTAAAGAGCAGTTGAGTATTACAAACATTGCCTCACCTGTATGATCTGCTGTAATAGTCACGATCATCATACCCTCTATCATACCCTCTGTCGTAGTAATCTCGTCGTCGTGAGCTGCCACTACAAGTAGTGAAAGAGAATTACATTCAATAAAATATAAAACATTTTGTTTGCAGTGCTTTTCAGTAGGCAGTCAGTTAAGTATACACCATTTTAACAGGGTTGTATTGTTACCTTGTGTCCTCACAGTTGAAATGATTGTGAGCACTCTACTTAACCATCAGTGCAGATGGGAACAGAACTACTTAATTGCTTTTTAAAATGCTTGAACTTTAATCCAGCTACTCTCCTCCTTGGTCTGAAACCTCTTAACCTTCTGGTATCACAGGCACATGAGGAATTCCATTCTGTGACAACTCCTCATTCACTTTTAACTCTTAGAAAGCTTCTTTTGAAAGAACTTTCCAATTAAAAATAGCCTGCAGTCTCCACAACAGCTACATAACCATCAGTATCACAAGCTGAAAGTCTTGGGACAAAACTGGGAAACAACTCAGGAAAACAATTTACATTCTTGGCAACTTTAAGTCAAAGGTGTACTCTGTGTATAGGGCAAACGGCATCACATAGCTGCTCAGTTAGTATTTGTTAATTCACTCTAGAAAACTTGAGCTTGCAAAGACATTAATACTTGAAGGTACATAGGAAAACAACTCATTTAGAAACTGTCAAAAAAATTTTACTGTAGATTTACTGAAATGTTTACGTTAGTTATGCAGCCCAGACATGAATAAGGAACACAGGTTTCTGCTCACTTTGTAATCCAGGCTGATCCCAGATCAGTCATCAACGAGCACCATACAAATTAACCCCTCCTATCTAATGAGTTGGCAAGACATGCATTACTACTGATGTCTGTCCACATGTAACAGTCTTTTTTTTTATTTCTGAAGAGCCTCTTTTATCAGGTGACTTTATTAGTTCTCAGAAGCTTTGCCAGATAACCACATCAGTGTTAGTAGAGCTCTTAAGGAGACTTCTTTTAAAAAACATAATTGGGCATCAACAGTGATTTTTGTGTTTTAGTTTCCAGTACCAAAACATGAACACACTGTACAGCACAGAAGTCACAAGCAAGGTAACAGCCTTCAGAACAGCGCACTAACGCAAAAGCCTGATAAATTAGGGAAAACAGGTAGAATCAGGTCTCTTAGAGGTGATACAGAACAGTCTTTAACAACACACAAGACAATTAATCCTATCCCATATTGGAAAAAACCCACACAGGTAACTTACTAAGTGGGTCTTCCCATATAGATTCCAGGGGTAGGTGTGTGAGGTCTTTTTGTTATGGAGAAGTCTACCCGGATCCTTCTTCCATCCAGCTCCATCCCATTGGCACGTTCCTTTGCCTAAGCAGAGTGATAAAATACAATTAGCTGTAGGTATGAACTCTATTACCAACTCAAATTTCTAACCACTGCTTCAAGTATGAAGAGAAGTCTTAAAATGGCTCAGTTAGGATGCATGTTCACATTTCACTTATGCCTTACATGTAACACCAAACATCAAACTGTAAGACATTCGAGGCCAGCTGGATATAATTTCAGTAACCACTTAAAATGTGACATATTGCATAATAAAGCATGAAAGAAACATGATTCAACAATTGTTTTAGCATCTCTGTTTATAACATGATTAATAGGAATGCTTGAACATGCTTATGTAGGAGGATGTAACTACTCCAACACACAACATGAAGCAAAGCATTTAGAAGAGCACTGTTATATTGAAGATTTCTTTTCCTTGAATACATCCTCAAAACCTACCATAACCTACCACTGTAATATCTGAGTCATAAGTAAATCTGAAGTAAAAAAACCCCAAAACCGTTATTTTTTTTTTTTCTGCCAAGTAGTAGGACCTACATCCAAAGCTCCAACCTAACACGGAAGCCCTTCATGACAGATTTGGGAGAGAAGACACTAGAGCCTTTAAGTAGTGGAATTTATGCAGAATCTAAGTGTAGTTACAGCTCATAAACACACTGCTCTCCAAGGACTGGCCTGAGCGCAGAATTCTGTATCTGGTAAGTACAGCATTCCTTGTTCATTCTGTAGCACTTGTAAGCATAAGTCTCATAATTCGTTCTATAGTATTGACACGGCTGCAACTGACTGAATCCCTTAGGGTTTCCCATGGACATCTTCAGGCACCAGGAAGCCACTGCATATTGGCCTTTTATTTTCCAAAAATATTTCCTTCCCCCCCGCCACTTTCAGAAAAGCACTAGTAGTCAGCAGAATGCATGTTAGCACTCCTATACAGAGCTCTGAAATGACCCTCTCGTCTGCTCTGAACATGCCCATTATTAAATACAAGATCACATGTGGAGTTACAAGGAACCCATCTCATAATTAAAAGAGAGGGCTTGTGTTTCTAATTTCTTTTCTTTGTTGGCATAGTTTGCACTATGACTAGCATGAAGTTTTGTTTTGTGAATTACACAACAGCTTAGCCTGCACAGGGACCAGTATTCATGCCTCTCCACTTTCTCTTCTGGTACACAGTAGATATCCTCTGAACTGACATTTATTATGAGGTGCCAAGTATTTTTTAGGCCCTGAGTTTCCCCAGGCTATATCCTGTTACAGAACACACATCCTAGCAGCTGAGAACAGAGCAAACATGCTATGCTATATATTTTGTACTCCAACTTACTTCCTTAGCATCCTCAACGTTTTCAAAGTACACAAATGCAAATCCTCTTGAACGCCGAGACTGCTGATCATAGACAATGGAAACATCAGCAATTGGACCATACTTGGAGAAAACTTCTCTCAGATCTCTTTCTGTGGTGTACAGACTCAATCCAAACACGCCAAGACAACAATTTGGGTCAGGATTTGCCTAAAGGAAGGGACAGATACATCAGTAAGAATAAAATAGCTTGTATTTGCAGTACAAAATGTGACTGTCAGAGCTTCAAGACAAAACAAAAGATACTGATGAGATTCAGGTTGGGTTAACTTGCTAACAGACACTATTACTATCAAATCTACAGATACACAAGCCTCCTTTCACAAAAATACTTTGTGTTTCTCAGGGTACTGTACAAACTACAGTTATAGCACACAATAGGTACTGTGTTTTAGACGTTTTCCCTCTAAAGGCTAGCTGATGACTGTTCAATGTGGAGATACACACACACAAGCCTGGATCACATCGTCATTTGTGTTAGTTACCACTTTTTTCTCCCGCTGCTTCAGCACGAACCACAGCACACTCAGCCACCTGAGCCTGTAAAGCAGCTAAAAGCAAGCTGATTTGCATGCTCATTTAATAAAGACACCATCAAAACAACTTTTAATGAAGCATTTTAGTTTTCCAGGCTTTCTAATCAAGAAAACCACAAATGCTTCTGCCTCTTAAATCTACCCCCATCCCTCACTGCATACATTCACTCATTTATTACAGCAGGTACAGTGACAAGAGCCTACACTGGTAGCACTTCTAAATGCATCTGTTAAAAAAACAGACAAACAAGACACCACCCTCCCCAATCCTAAACAAAGTTATGGAGATCCATAGCTTATCAAAAGCCAAACGATAATTAACCCCAACAGTATCATTTAAACAGACCTGAGCCAAAGGCAGAATGTTTTTCTGGAAAACTCCAATTAACTCAGTGATTTCAGGATGCATGTCAACTACTTCTACAACATACCCTGTTTCCAATATGACGTCTGCGAGTAGACATGGGTGAATGGCTGTGACTGTGTCGTCGCCGATAATCCCGACTGTAAGATCTACTTCTGGATCTCCTGTGAGAGCGGGAACGAGAGCGGGATCTTGTGTAGTGTCTACGGGAACTCCTCCTTGATCTAGATCTAAGGAAAAAAAGAAAAAAGAAAAAGGTACAGTGTTGGGTTTGGTTTTTTTAATCCTTCAAAAATATGTCAGATATACACAAACAAAAAGCCCAAATAACCATTTTCTAAAAACCTGCAGTACCACGTTTTAGCTATAATCAATTTAGTCAATACTCTCAAGGACCATGTCCTAAATCTTTACCAGTATATTACTGAAGATGTTCTCAGAGCATTTCTACTGCAGAACAGGAACCTAGACTTCCATTTCAGTTAGCTTTTAACTTTCTCTAAGAAAGGTATCTTGGTTTGACACAGTATATGCTTAGAAAATTCAGAGTAGCATTTAAGTAAAAATAGCTGGGGTGGCTTTCTTTTAAAGACAACAGAAAAAGGGAACAGAGGTAAATATGACTTAACATAAAGTACACACGACTGCAGAGGTGCACACTTCTGCTACACTGAACAGTAAATACACTTTTTACACAGTGCATAATTGCAAGCACAGAAGTCTGGCAAATGCTCCTGAAACAGAGTTTAACACAACTGAAGAAATTAAGCTGTAGTAGGCTTATTTACTTTCTGGTATTTCAGCAGTTATTTAACATTAGCTGTTCATTAATGTCTATATGTTCACACTTCAACTGTATTTCGTCAAAGGTGCAACTGCTCACTAATTTCAGCCCAGGCCTCCTCAGAACTGTCCCAGAAATGTTTTCTGACAGCACTCAGTCTGGGGAGATGAGGTTCTGAAACAGTTCAATTCCTTCTACTAAACCCTCAGCCCTCCCAACACAACCTTAGCTGAAAGGATGAGCAGGCAGTTAAACTATGACACCTGGAACAGGAATATGACACTTGAGCTTGGCCTGCTAATGGCAGTCACTGATTAATTTGCATTCCACACAACTACAAAGAAAATTGCCAAAGGCTCAGAAGTGCAATAAACAGTTAAGTATTCAAAGGCTCTTAGTCATAAATTGTTAATCTTCAGACTTTTGTGTCTTAAATGTCCCTCCTCTCATTTGTGGAAGCGAAGGTAGTTAAGTACTCACTGAGACCATAAGCTACCATCATTGCACAACCATGTAACACCATCACTACACTGACATGAATGAAGCTCTTAACCTGAACCGGTTTTAACTCCTGAGCATTTAACAGCTTCTTCTACAGTCAGGAATTCTTACTAGCTAAGTGTCACCAGACAGCCAAACCGCACGATATACACCCTGTACATTACACACCTCCTTCAAAAAATGCCAAGCGAGCCAGCTAAGTTCTGTCTGCCTAAACTTGAAACAGGTGTATGTGTCCAGAAGAAATTATGTTAGCATGTCCCACTACAATACTTCTAACTATGTATTTAGAAAGAATAAATTATTTTTGGCAACAAAAAGGGAAAAAAAAAAACAAGAGAGAACTTCCCTGAGGCAGGGAAGACAGTAAAGACGGACAGAAATAATAATAAAAAAAGAAGTTCAACATGTATGCACAGCCACATTTCAAACTCTAATGTAGAAAAAAACTGAAGGCAAACACAGAACTGATGGTTCCAGGTAACAGAATGCACCCGTTACAGTGAACAGAGGTGGACATTTCTAAACCAGGCAATCCATTATGTGAGAGAAAAAGGCTTAAACAGGCACCTGCATATATTGCTGCCTTAAATGTCATACTGCCATTATTTTCCTTTGCTGCCAAGCCATCACAGCTGAAAATCCCGTTTCTTTGTTAGGAATTGTTTAGACTTCAGAATCAGCCAAAGATTACAAGTTTGCTATGCTACTGATGAAAAAACCAACAAAAGCAGATTTTTAAATCAAGTATATCCACACCCCAAATGATAAATACACCAGGACACAGATTTGTTCCCAAATCAAAGTTTAATTTATAAAGCTGGTAACTCAAAAATACACTTGCAACAGAAACTGCCAAGAAATACAGAAATTCTCACAAGGTTATTTCTATGGTGAGAGCCAGAGTTAGATGATCTGCTAGTAATCACATCCAAACGTGTGACAGCACTGAAAGTGATGCAAGTATGTTGGTTCTAAAACACGTGTCTTGACACAATTCTGCCCAAACCTGCTAATGAACACACTCTACCTCTGCAATGTATTTCCAGCCATGGGCATTTTCAAGACAGCTGTTAAATGCTCAGGAAGCCATGGTAGTCATAAGCTTCTACTTTTGTTCACCAAAAAGTAAAGTCAGTTGCCAGGGTATTATTTAAAGGGTGATTTCTTGTAAGATAATTTGTTCGGTGTCTCAAATTCTAGATCTTGTATTTGCTTCATCCAGCATTTTACCCAATTTGTGACTGCATTCTTACGCAGTATTATGGTTATTCTCCAAGTGAGGAATATGGTGTTTTTTCAGAGTATGGAATCCCTAGAGGTTATGGATTAAGATGCAGAAGGACATGTTGGGCTGGGTCACAACTTATTTGTTATTTTAAAAATAAAAGTTTCCCCAATGGTGTTTGCAGTCTCCTCTGAGGTTTTCAAAACCCAACTGGATAAAGCTTTGAGAACTTAGTCTGAGCCCAGATCTGACTCTGCCTTGAGCAGTATTTTGGACTGGACCCTTCCAGAGCTGTCGAATCACTCACTACTAGCAATTCCAGAGATCACTCTAATTTCATACTCTTTAAAGTGGTATTACTCTACCAAGTATTTATTAATTTAATTTGACATATTTGTTCTTGCACTGCAGGGATAGCCAAGTGCATGACTTGACACTTGTGGCTGCCTGAAGTACACAAAAAACCCGAGCCCATTCCTCCGCTGTCAAAATTTCATAAGTATGTTCCTTCTCACAAAAGCTTTTCAAACTCATCACTTTGATCTTGCAAAGAGATCTATACACAGTATTTGATAGTGTTTTCCATCACAGGTGATTGTTAATAGCACAGTATCTTCCAGTGCTGTCATCCTTCCTCCAGCCTGACCCCCATGCTTTGGGAAGCCTAATTCATTGCTTATACACATAAAAAGTATAATGTGAAATTTTTTAACCTGAATGCTTACAAATGAGTAAAACTATCAACACATGTAGTCAGCACTCAGTTATCTAGACTTAAGAAAATAATGTCTTTCACCCATTTACAGGTTTTGTTGCCTCTCCATTCTTTGTTTAATACGTACCTCGTACACAACACACCTGGTAAAGCCAACGTAAAGTGGCTAGCAGTGACATTTACAGCCTCATTTCTAGACTATCAGCATATTTTGTCTCAGTTACATCTGCCAACAGTTTCAAGAGGAATTCTGTCACTGCACACAGCTTGTTTAGCAGATGTGTATAAAGAATAGGCAACACAGTGCAAAAGGCATTTTCACAGTGTTCATTTCTGTCACCATATAACAAATACAAGGAGCAAGCTACTTTCTCCACAACTTTTTTTGAGCACTTGGAAAACTGTCTAATCTTTAAATCTTTCCAGCCTGTTAATTTTCAAGTTAAATTAATATACATCTAAAAGGTCAGACAGGTGTCTGTTGAAATTCACATTTATCTCTGCTGATTCTTTTTAATGGAAGGTACCATTAAGTCCTCCAGAAACATCACTGCTTACAGTGAGAACACACAATAAATTAAGGTGACCCTAACATGGAAAATTTGCTGATGCACCTATTTCTTCTTAATGCACAGAAAAACTAAGATTTTGAGTTCTTAATGCTTCATGCTCAGAACCTAATCATTATTCTACAACTTAAAAGGCAGGCCACCTCCAAACTGAGGTATCAGCAGAGACACAAGCCTATGTAGCAGACTACTTATTAGGAAAAGCTGCAGAAAGATTTAACTTGATAGTTTAGCTTTTCAAATCCTGAAATCACACACACACACACCCCCTTTGTATTCCGTATCCACAAGATCACCAGTTATCTCTGGAAACAGAATTGGTCAAAACTGGGTTTCAGTTCACCTTTGACATAATCATCTGACTTGTGAAGAGGAGGAAGAGGTAAAAGAAGTAAACTCACCTGGATTCAGACCTGGATCTAGATTTTGACCTGGAACGCCTGGAATCCTCCTTAGATCGAGATCTTGCAGGGGTGTGCCTCCCCGACTTGCCAGACCCATGAGCACTTCCGCTTCTGGAAGCAGAACGGGATTCCTGCACGCAGATATTGAAAGCCTAATTTGTACACAATTTCTCGTTTACCTAAGGTCTGTAAACAAGCTCCAGTGAAATAAATGGTAAAAATTCATATCTATGTGTCCGGGCAGTTGGCATTAGAACTGCCTAGATTTTTAAGAACTTTTTTTTTTTTTTTTCCCTGGTAGACACTTCTTTACCCTGCATATACTTTTGCTATTAAACAGATAATGCATGCATGTTTAGCAAAATATACAGGGACACATAAACAGACTAGTAATTACTTAGCGTAGTGCTTTCAGATTCCAGATTACTTCTTATCTTAACTTCATTTTTATTCCTTTTCTTCATTCTTCCGTTTCAAATTCTGACTTCTTTCATCTTCCCCACTTCACACAAATTGCTCAATATTCTACAAGTGGGACTTCTGGTCTGATAATTAGCATGCATTCACTTTCTTTTTTTTCAAATTTCAGCTTCACTTATTCCTGAGCTTCAAATAATTCTCATTTATAAAACTTGTCAAATGGCGACTTCCGCATTTTCCTTCTTCAACATTAACCTTAATAGAAAAAGAACAGGATGAAGAATATTTAAAAACTCCAGGATAAAATCTAGTGCCAAAACTGAAACTAGAAAAAAAATGTTTTGTGGACTATATATGCAGTTCAAGATTTGAATCTACCAAAATGCCTTACTATTTTATAAACAGATTCAGTCAATTCAGTTTAACTTAGTACTAAGTAACTGAATTCGCTATTTATGTCTATATTTAATAGCAAATGCACAGTGGATCAACTGAATAGCTACTAACGAATTCAGCATTAGGAATCTTCAAATACTTTGCACTGTCAGCCACATGCTTAGACAAAATCAACAAGAAGCGACTTAAGTAAGGTCCCTGCTGCGGCCAGAGACAACTAACTGATGTGCTTTTTGAAAGCTGAAAGCACACCACAGTTTGTCTTTCAATGACTTACAATTATGTTACTTTTTGGGACAGTCTCGCAGTTTAGAAGGCCTAGTTCGAAGTTTTACAACCACACTCACACCTACTCTGCCTGCACAAGTGTGATTACATATGCAGCCTTCATGCTTCCAAGTAAATAATATTTTTTCACCAACCAAAAATACTACTTTGTGAAACACACTCAAACACTGTTCTGGAACAATACTCCATCTACTCTATTCTCTACTTGTAATCTTATCTGGTAATGATATAACCTAATTAGCATTTTCAACTTTATATATATCTTTTTAATCAGTATAATGCTTAAGTCATGTCTTAAACATTTGTTTTGAACACACTAGACGGTATTCTATATTTCAAGATGTTAGAGAAAATTTAAAATTCAGCAGTAGAAACCTATTTTTAACTAAAACCAAACAATTCTAAATTCTGTGTCAATTCTTATCAAGAATGCTCACTAACAACAAAGTCCAGATTTTTTTCTAAAAGAGTTTTATTTTAGTAGTATCTCTTAAACCTGAACACTCATGAGGCACTCCTTACTAAGCATTCAGAAATTCATTTGCTAACCCAAAATTTAACTATGTTTAAACCTTAAATCACATCCCTATGACTTAAAACAAAGTTTAGCTATTTACAATTGCCTACAATATAGTACGGGGGAGGGGGGGGCAGGAGGAAGACAACTTGCAGTATAAAGCAGATTTTCAAGAGCAACAGAAATAATGCAAAGTTGGTCAAGGCCATATTCTTCTGTCAAAATGTTTAAGGGGGTGTTAGAAACCATAGCCACCTCATATACTAACCCTGCAAAGGGCAACGCAAATACTGTGAACTAATTAAAGTTACAAATAACAAATTTAACCTACTCATTACCACCTTTGAAAGAAAATATTCCATGGAGATGAGTTCAGATTTATCCATAAGAAGTCTTCAACTCTTAAAAAGTTAGAAAAAGCAAGATTGAAGAAGGGCTAAAAAAAAAAAAATAATCAAAACTAAGGTTGTTCTTCATTTGAGGAAAAATACTTAACATTAACTCTCTTGACAGATTCAGGCTACACAGAAGGAGCCATGTCCAAATACAGATGGTCTAATACTTTTCAGGACACAAGAAATGCAGGATGGGATGGAAACAGCAGGGAGGATCTTGCACATAAACATACCCCATGCCCTTTTCAGGGTTTTCAGAAGTCAATAAGCTTTGAGAAAATCAGTAGAGAAATGCTATCAGCATAAACAAATGACTGAAGTCTTCATCTATTTGACTTTTTTGTTTGTTTTTTATGATATTTGCTAAGATTGATGTGGAAATTGGACACCTAGGATCTGAGAAGAAACTTAGGAAAAAAAACTGTAGGACAACTGTATATCTAAATCAGAAAATTAAACAGCTGGCTTATTTTCATCCAGCTCCTTTGGACTTTTCATTTCCCAGTTTTTAAACATCCACATTTTGTTTTCAGATCATCCTTCTTCAAAACCTTTATCTTCACTCTACCACACTTTACAGGATTATGTCACTTGTTTATTATTTCCAGCCTCAAAGGAATTCACTGCATCTCACCTGCTCTAGATATTACTAATACTGGTAATAACCCCTAAAATGTTAAAGTTGTTACCCTCCACACCCTAAACTCCCACAAAATCCTCCCTGCCCAAAATTTCAAGCACCAGGAACCTGCTGCAGCACTCCAAACTTAGTTTATGCCCCATTATACCAACACTCACTGAGGGTTCACACGAGCCACTCACACAACTTACTTCAAGTGGAGTTTCTACTATGCAATTATTTTGCTGTTCTTAATACATTTTCTTTTTCCACTTCTTGGTTTTTTGCTCTGAATTTTCTTAAAAATACCAGTGTAGGCTCCTGTCATGACACGTGGAAGAAAAGAGAAGAAACAACCTTCTTTATCCTACCTATATTCAAACACTGCTGGTAAGCAGATCAAGACTGGTGTTCACTATTAAATAACCACTTTTTTTTCTAACTTGATTCTGTGAAGTGTGGATTTTTAAAACCACCAGATGCCTTGATCCTTACCAACAGTTCTTCCTCTTCATCAGGCATTACTGGAATTCAGGTGGAAGCCCTGAAGTCCAGGCTTGTGGTTTCCAAATTATTATTTCCATACTTTAAGCATATTAAGAACAATGCGTAATACTGTAGGAATTGTATTTTTAACACCTCTAAGCACACTCATAAAGATGTGTTACGGTTATCCACTCTATAAACAAGGAGTGTTACAAGAGCAGGATTATTTGGGGTGCAGTAGACAAAAAAAGGTTTCCATGCACAGAAGTGGCTGTAAGGTCTGTGAGAACCACGTGCTCTCTGCATTTATGAGATCCTGCCTTTCCTCACAGGAATACAAGCTACAAATTTCAGTTACTTAATGTAAGATTCTTGGAAATATAATTATTAGCATTTTTTAAATCCTAAATGTCAATAAGCCTATGTATTTCCACTTATTTTCCTAAAGAAGGGTGCAGCCTCACATTACACATTATCAAACCTGCAGTCAGATTTCTTCGAGGTGTAATCGTGCTAACTTCACACTCCTTCAACCTCTCTATTGATAAATTAGTTACGGAGCCAACAGGAAAATAGCTTTTCCCTCCTTCCCCTGAAGCACACGATCACTGCTGGGGGTGAGGGTGGTAGTCCACTCCAAGGGGAAGCAGAACAACCCCTTTCCACAACAGCTTCCAAACTCCACCAAAAAGACAAAAATGTGTTTTGAAAAAACAAGCTAACGGACCATGAGCACAGAAGCCCAGCTTCCTCCCACTCCCTCTGCCACTTGCTGACCCTGTGGGCCCATTCAGGGCACCAAGCTGGTAGGAAACATCAGCAAAACTCAAACTATCTTTTGACAGTTTAGGGTACTGAATCAGCCTACCAAGAAGTCAGATCAAGTGCCAGCTGATGAAAGAGGAACATGGAACCTTTTGGTGGCATCAAGCTATCAGATTGTTTCTAACCTCCTCAAACTGCTTCCTTAGACCTTCTTCCACAATTTAGTAATAAAATCCACATTTTTTTAAATATACATGTTAAGTACCTTGCAAGTAGAACTATAAATTGAGCCTTTATACCCTTCTAACAGTTACTCTGATAAAAAATTACCCTACTGTATTAAATAGTTTCTGATCAGACCCATACCAAGTTATCACTATTAATTAATTCACAGGATGAGACTCAGTGTTTTTTCTTTTAACTACTCTTCTTTCCAACCCTTCCATGCCTGAATCACATACACTTCAGTGAGTACAATTTCAGTGAATGAAAACAAAAGTGACTTGGGAAAATGTAGCAGTTGCAGCATACTGACAGCACCTGAAGTGTATTCCACTATTTGACGTACTGGTAACATTTAATAATTTACAGTCTCTTCAGTTAAAAAAAGCTTCCAGAGTTTAATCCCACTATGGAGTGTAAACTGTAAAAGAGAGCTGACTGGTGATTTTTTAACTGTGACATAAACCAGCTGAAGTTTGTGTTGCTGCCGAAACAGTAAGTCTCATTACTTGCGAAAGCACCTGGTATTTCTTCTTCATCCCCAATGATGACATAAGGACTCGTGGCTACACAATCAAGTCTAGCCTGCAAAACCAATACAGCTGAAAATGGAATCAGAAAAAAAATTTCAGCTGATTTAATTCCCAGATCTGACTGACTACTCAAACACTAGTACTAGGGAGAAAGCAGGAACACATTTTCAGGAGCACAATTCTTGTTGGCAGCATGGACTTGGAACAGCTTAACAGACAGTTGTAAACTCATATCCTAGATTATTTATCCAAACACTGTTTTTACTCCGCAGAGACTTTAGCAGTTCCAGCTTGAAAAAGTAGAAAGCCATTGACTCCGTAAAATATAAGCCTTAAGTAAGCAAAAATGTCATAAATAACACTGGCAACAGCATTCAAAAAGCCACTCCCTGATCTAGTCTGAAATAGCAGGCTTGTAGCTCTGATTTTATATTTCAGATTTACAAACATGTACATTGCCTACAACTTACCTATTTACTAATCACAAAAGTTCAGGCATAGCTCATTTCAAGCCTTGGTGAAGACTGCCTGCACATGATTTTTTTTTATTTTTTTTTTTAATAGAAGTACAGGAAAGATAAAATAGAAAAGCAGGTGGGACAGTAATTGCTGCCCTATCATACCCTGCACAATTATGTTTCAAAAGGATTTTACTATAAAGGTTTAAACATTTCCACTCATTCTGATTGAAAATACAACACAGGTTATCCCGGCAACTAAAGTTAGGCTGCAGTCTTAAACTGTTTTTCAGTCTGACTTGCACAATAGCAATTAAATCAACTTTTTAAGAGACTAACTACACACAGAAAGTCAGAAGTAATACTCCCTCACTAAAAATATACTAGCGGTAAGAGTGACATGAAGACCTCAATGAAAAGGTAACAATGGGGGTACTACAAGTTTATTCTTTAATCCCAGTCTTTCAGCGCTCATTTCCATCTAGCATTTTTAGCTTCCTGGAGACCAAATTTTTCTAACCTAACCTACCTAGTATAAAAACACTATAAAAGCTTATTCTAGTGAATCTGAATAAGAAAAAGCCATTTTCAAAGAAGGACACTGCAATTTTGTGCTAAGAATTATTAGATTCCCTGTAATTTTGCCGACTCCAGTGAAGGTTTAAAATTTAAACTATTACCCCAAGAACTGACTCTGATGCTGCACTAAGTTAAAAACTTACAGGCTTATGCTGAAAAAATATCCCCAAACACAGTATTAACCCGTGCAGTAAAAATTAAAAGACCTAAAAGGAAAACATGACTGATTCACTAAAAAAGCCAACTATAGGCAATCTGTATTGCAGATGTACATTACAAACGTGAAGCTTAGCAAGTCATCTACTGCGATATTAGTAAAATTCCATCCAGACAGTAACAGTAACGTCTTGTAGCAACTATGCAGTTTAAGAGAACATCTACTGCAAGTTTCACAACACAAAGATATCGCCCTAGCACCGCGAGCGTTCAGTTTAAGGTTTAACCCTTCGAGTATTGCAGTCACGTTTAAATTAAATTGAGACCAAGCCACCTGGATGCAATGCTGCTACTACATCAAGAAGTAGAGTTAATATATTACAAGCAAGTGCGAGGAATAGCGAATCGGAACTCAGTTTACAAAGTAATTCACCAGAAGTGAACTGCAATGCAGCTTTGGAGAGAGTATAACAAAGGCTCAGACTACTACCAGCTCGGGACTTTCCTTCCCTACCCACTGGTTACCGAACAGGGCTGGGGGACGGAGGACGAGGCACCACGGTAGCAGCCGAGACCGCCGCAGCCCGGCTGCGAGGTCGGAGGGGCCTGAAAGGCCTCGAGCCTGCAGCGTTGCTGCGGGAGGAACGGGGGAGCAGGGCC